GGCAGCGCTGAGTGGCGCAAGCGACTTGGTGAGGCGACGAAACAAAATTCCGGCCTTCCATCATGCTCATAGGGATCGAATTCCCTAATCAAAGAATCTACGATTTCTTATTTCATATGTCGGTCCATGATTGAGAAATCCTCGGTTCTGCTTAGGGATCCAAGCGTTTTTCGAAATCCGGACTTGCGTCAGGGGAGGATGCTGATTTTGGGTTCAGCTATCAGCTATGTGCCGCTCAGATTAGACAAGCGGGGTTTTCAATAAGCTCAGGCGATATCCCCAACAGCAGCGCTTTTTAGTGCTCGCACCACCCCGCAGCCCTCGCAGAACCTCGTGGAACCGTTGTGGAACCCTGGTGGAACCCTCGTGGAACCCTCGTGGAACCTTACCTCAGGGCCGCCCCGGATCACCCCGGAGCCTATCTGGGCTGAGACCCCAAAGCTTTCAGCTGTTGGGGAAAAACGGGCGTTTGAAGGAACATGTACACGGGGCTGAACTTTACACCCAGTTGCCGGTGGCACCTTTGACCCTTATTTTTGAGGCTTCGCTTTAGAAAGAACTCAGAAAAATATGGCACCCAAATTGTTTTTCCCATGAGCAACATAATCTACGGGAATCGCTTCACAAGGGGCCCCACTTACGAGCCTTTGGGACGTTTCTCCAAGTAGACCTTTTCTTGGTTGGTCCCCTAAAAAACGAACAACATGGAATTGGCTTTGGGGCACCCCAACCCCCCTCCCCCTCCAGATAGTGGGCATAGGAAACCCTTGGAGGCACATGTATTGCCAGACTTTGTTACCTGCCCAAACAAGGGGTTTCCAGCGGAAAATCAACCAACATTGGGATATGCCCATTTTTTGTATGGACATCCAATCCGGAGGTGTTTGCAACTTGAGTTTCTGTTCCCCTAGCAACGGCCATACTTTGCCTTTTCTTGGTGTGTGCTTCCAGCAACAAGTTGTGACTGTTTGCGGCGGCTCCGCTCGTTTGGTCAAGTTTGCAGATCTAGCAGCTTACAAGGGATGTGCTTTGTGTCTCTGACATCCTGACAGGATGGGTGTGTGTGTGTGTGCGCGTATGTTCTGTTGCAAGGGCCTTCTTGGGGTTGTTGTCAAGGCAAGCCAACAAGCAAGTCGCCCGTTTTCACGGGACGATTTGGAGCCTTCAGGGTTGCAAGCCCATCCATTTGGAAAAGGCAAGGCACGCCTGGACACTACTTGCTGGTGCGATAGGTAGGGAATGACCCCGGGGTGTTGGGAATGCATCTAGAGATTTCTTTAAATGAAACCATAGGGGATGGCTTTTCTCGGGGTCATTCCATTTCTCCTTTTCTGCCTATGGAAGCAAGATGACTGTCCTTGGTATGTTCCATGTTTGGCTCTTTTGGTGGGAGCCTGCCACGGGATCAAGCACTAAACTCACTAAACCAGTCTTCCAATGTGTGACTCGTGTTTGTGGGCGTCCCAATTTGGGATTCTGTTCACTTTAGTTGCGGGGGATACTTGTGTTTTCCCAGAAGTTGGGAAGAGCGTATGATGTGTCTGGCTCAAAGCACCGCCCGAAGCTCTAAGAATCTAAGTTCTTTTTTCAGGGCACAAGAGCAATCCCCTATACAGGAAAACTAATATGACCGTAGGTCAAAATCCCGTACCCCCAGTGAACATCCCAATCTCCACTAAAATCAGTTCTAAAATGGGTGGTGCACCAATCCCCCAAAATGGGACCCCATTGGTTTTGACAACCACAGCCATATAAGAATTCGGACCCTCTTCCCTCTTTGTGTGGTTGGTTGCCCCCCTGTCAGGCGGAGTCTCCTGCCGCGCTGGCGCAGTATGGCAGGGATCAAGTGCCCGCGCTTCTGGAGCAAGCGCGCCTCGACTGGCACTCTGCAAAAACACGGGGTCAGTGCCAAAATCGGGGCACCCTAAAGTGGTTGTGGGCTGAGCGCAATCAGCTTTCTTGGCGGTTCAACCAGCTCCGTAAAGGTTTTCACTTTGCAATCGGTTAAATAGGGGCGGTTCTCCTTCTGAAATGAGGGGAAACCAGCTAAACCAACCAGAAAAGGGGCACGGGCTCCCCAATCAAAACTTAAAGCCGAGTGGCCCTTTGGCTCAGGGAGTCAGGTGCGAAAAGAGCTCGGTCTTGTGGGGCATGGCCGCAAGCCAGTGAAGTGGTTCCGGAAAGCAGCGACAGTTTTCTCAGTTGCCCAAAGCGAATCGACCTTTTGACCTTTGGGTTTTCCCGTTTTGGTTTTCACTTTTCGTGGAGCTGCCTTAAAAGGTTGAGCTTTTATTTCTGGGTCCCATAGGGGCAAGTGAAGGAAGCCGGCGTCCTCGGAGGTTGGGCCGTTTGACACGGTGCGTAACTTGGGTGACTTGGGGAACTTGGGACAGGTGAGACTCCAGGGTTGTGGGATCACAAGGGGTTTCTCCCCATGTGATACAAGGGAACCCCCCTCTATATGAAGAACATAGTCTTTGGGATTGAAGCCCTTTCTGTTGTATCACAGAAGTGGTAATTCCCCACAGCCCTGGGTCAAACTGGAAGCCAAAGGTTTTTTTCCTCACAACCGATTCGGCGCCCGCCTTTTCTGCCAGTTCCCTCGAAATTCAGGGCTCCCCCCCTTAAAAGGGGGTAGCTTTTCGGGGGTCATTTTCCAGATAAATGTTACTCACTTGCCTAAAGCCGACCTTTCAACCTTTTGGTTTTCCCACGTTGGTCCATTTTTAGTAAAGGTCCCCAAAGGTGATAACCTTTTATTTCCAGGTCCTTTGAGGAGGCTATATTCTGTAGAACATAATCTGAAAACACCCACTTTTAATCGGTGTTGCTTTGGTTTGCCTTGAGAAGAGCTGCTGCAATTTCCATTGTGGCACTCCAAATGTCCAGACGGCGCTGGTTCCCAGTGGATCAAAGCAGAAGCCAAGGGAGGGATGTAGTGCGACAAGTTCACTTACACACTAGCGAGCACATGAGCAGGCGATGGCCATGGTTACAAGAGGTTTGGCCCACACAAATCCAGTAGATCATGGCCCATTTGGATCCATTTGGGAGAGGCACGGGAGAACTCACTATCATAATTTTCCCACACAAAAAACGCGGACTCCCTCAATGAATGTCCCATGTGGCTCACAACACGAGCATTGGCCACTGTTTGGGCGGGCAAAGGGGAAATTGCAACCCCCTTGATCCGAATGGTTTCGGACAAATCCCGATGTACCAATCGGGTTATGGTTTGCCAGCGAGGGCCCGATGAAGGTTATCATTCAGGGTTTTGTTTGTTCCCCACACATGGGCGATACAGGAGGCACAGGCCATTAGAGAAAGGATCACCGAACAAAAAGCAACCCCTCACCGAGGGTTACGTGTGGAGATGCTTGAACTTAAGCTGTCAACAACCTTCCTCGCTGGCTGCAATCTCTGCTCCCGACAACAAGCTCGAAAAGGAAGCCAGGCATGCATAGTCTATCTACCAAACAGTACATAGTTTGTCGGAAAAAGAGTTGTACTGGATGCTTCTTGATTTGTCCGACAGAGAAAATAACAACTTACATACATATCATGCACACACACATCCCCGCAAAACAACACCCCCTAGCATGTTGGTTTTGGCCCGTACGAGCCAAATGGAGGAAGCCCCCAAAGAGTGTTTGGTTTCCTTTTGAAGCAACAAGAAGGAAGTAAGGATGCCAAGAATTGAAAAGCGTTGTGTTTTTGTCTTTTGAGGTTGCCACGTCCGATGTTCGCCTTGAAAAGCCATGTTTAAATCTCAATCTGCATTGGTTTCCCTTGCGGAAAGCTTCGCCCTTCGCCCTCCGACTGCAAAGGGCGCCCCGATTAATATGGCGTCCTCTTGTTTCCTAGAGCCGAAATTCCTCCGCCGGACATGAAGAAAGCTTCGCCTTAGGCGTTGTGGGGCACCTGCGGTTTGGGTTTTTGTGGTGGGCTGGGTGCCTGGGGCAGGTTTCCCATGGTTCTAGGGGTACCTTCCATTTCCATTCTGAACCCAGGGATCCGAGTCTTTCTAGGAAACCTCCGGAAACCCAGGGGAAACGGATCCGGTTTTTGGAAAGAACGATGGTTGAAAAGAATGGGGAATCGACCCCTTGGAAAAAGACACACACACACATCAAGTTAAGATAAACCACCACATTGGCGCGTTTGAGGTTTGCCCTTTCGGAATGGTTCTCGAAGGGAAACCAACAGGAAAGCCGGGTACCCCGAAAAAAGGACACAGTTGTTTCGCCCTAATCCTTTCGCCCCTTGCCCTCAAGGCATGGTTGTTGTTGGGAAACATTTTACACTTTTGCTTATTGTGATTTAGTGGGAAATCCCCACTTAACTGCCAACAGTTTTGTTTTTCTCCACTTCCAACGTCAACCAAGAAGGGAGCCGCACACACACACAAAAAGGCGCAATCGCCACCGTCTCAGCGCGAGGTCTGGGATTGCTGGCAAGGCGGACTGGGGAAGGTTTCCGGTCACATGAGCTGGGCGCTCACAGTGTGACTGTTTCTCTAGGGGTACCTTCCAGTTCCATTCTTTCCAGGGATCCTTCTTTTCAGGGATCCATCAAACACCCAAGGGGAAACAGCCGGTTTTTGAAAAGAACGATGGTTGGAAAGAATGGGGAATCAACTCCTAGAGTTCTGGAAACGCCCTTTTTGGAGCACGTAACTGTTTACTGGGCTGCCTCAAAATCAAACCGCAATCCTTATGCCAGATAGTGTTTTTCCTTGTTGTCGTGGCATCTCAATACAAATTGCAGATAAGAATCACGGTCCCCTCTATTGAACAAAGAGATTGGAGCTGCTTGCTTTGAAGCAAGCCTAGCTTTGCCAAAGTTGAAGGGGACAGTTACTCAGGCGAATCGAGCGGAAAGATCTGAGCTCGAAATTCGACTTGGAGTTCTCATGGACCTGTTGGACGGACTCGGTTGAGCCTCCCTGGTGAAAAGGGAAGCACATCTTGGGAACCGCACGAAGATGATATTTCAACCACATGGGGAAAACTACCCAGGCTTTTGCTGGTTGACTAGGTCTACAGTAGTGCCCTTCTCTCCCATTTTTTGGGGGAGGGTTCCCCTACTAAAATAGACTACAGAAAAAAATCGGGTACCAACTTATCCTAACCTCTCTACTGGAGGACCTAGTTGAAAGTTGTAGGATCGAGCCGCAGCTCAAAGCCGGAGTCACTTGACCCGCGCCTTGCGCGACGTCACCAAAAAAAATTGAGTCCGGTCACCAGTCAAAGGACTGCCAGAGCGCTGGACTGCAGCCTGTAAGCCTGAAAGCCGATCTCTGTTGAAACTATTTTAGGTTCTCCAGAATATGGGCTGGAAGAAAACATTGGATGTTTTGGGGCAAAAGGTAAGTGAAGGGTCAGCAAATCTGTGTATATGTCGCTTCGTCGGAAAGGTCTGGGACTCTGGAGGAAATCTTTGATCCCGCTCTGTTAAAGGCGCTTTTCAGGCGAGTCTGGAAGGTTATTTGCCCTCTACATGACGAATAACCCGTATACACGCTCCACATCTGCTCCTTTTTGCAGGTGGTGCCGCGATGGCAAGCGCTGTGACTTTCTGTCAATCAAGCCACATGTTCCGTGCAGTTTCGCCCATCTAGGACTACCTTCCTGCAAAATCCAAATGTTCTGTGCAGTTTCGCTCTCTCCTATGAAAGAAGAGCCTTTTCGATCAGAAAAGCGGCAGCCCGGAGACAAACTTGGACCTCCAAGAGCCTTGGAACTAAACCCAGAGCCTCGGATAAGCCTCGGAAGAGCTGAGGGCCTTCTTCCCCCGAGTCAGAATCCTTTGAATCCGTTTTGAAGACCGGACATGCTGCGTTTCATGGTTTGATTGGACTACCCCAAAGTGGAGAATGTGTTTCTGTCTTTTCAATGCAACTGAGGTCTCCATGGGGTGAACCGTGGTTCTTTCGGGTCCAGGTACCTCTTACCCAAGGAGCCTACCCAGCCAGGTGGACCGCCGGGCTTTGCAGCGCCTCTTCGGCCTCAGCACCTTGACCGAGTCTCGCAGCCTTTGTCTTTTCTCAGTGCTTTGGGTTGCTTTAACCCGCCTTTTGGTGGGTTTTAAAGGGTGACCAAAAGGAAAACCACCGATTTTTTTTGCGTGACCTTAAGTTGGTTCCGAGCCATCCGGTTCCTTAACTGTTTTTGTTGTTTGCTAGTTTGTTTAGTGGGGGAGGTTGCCCTTTATCCCACTAAAAGTGTTTTTTTTGTCAGGGGATCCAAGGGCACGCCCTGTGTGTGTGTGGTTGTTTGTCTAACTGCCTGTTTGTTGGTTTGCTCGTTTGATTGTTTGGTTGTGTGTATGTGTTGTTGAGTGTACCCTTTGCAGGTTACCAAAAGGATAAACCATTCTGTGCATGGGGGGGGGGGTCCTATTTGACACAAACCCAAGTGACCAGAACAGAGTAGTTTAAATGGTTCACCAACTAGCAACATTCCAATGCGGGTTGCCCACAATTGCAAATGGCGAGAAAAACAAGCTTATTTGAAGTTTCGCCTCGGGTTGAAAAGCGGAGTTGTTGTTCCCTTTTTTGGGTGAATATATCATTATCTTTTAAGACCATTGAAATTAGCTTCCTTTTGGTCGTGTGATGTTCAAATGGGGCATATAAGGAACCCGGTTTGAGCATCAACTTGTGGTTGCCAAGTCAACAGCGAGGTAGCTTCCTGTCAACCTCTTTTTTGGCTGAAGATCTAGGGGTTGATTCCCCATTCCGTTCTTTTCAATTCACCAGCCAGTTCCCCAGGGTTTTTGACGGTTTGCCAGAAAGAAGGATCCCGGAAGTTGCCCCTAGAGAAGAAGGCAAAACTCCTGAACCTTGCAGCTCATGACCCACGGGACCCACGGGTGCTGAGGTATGCTTGCATCTTCCAGCCGGCGGCCGAGGGGGCAAACTCGCTTGGTGCTTTTCCCAGGTAGAGAATCCGAAGTGTCCAAAACATCCCAGGTACGGTTCCCAGCATCCAAGTGCCCAACAGCCTCCAAGAACTGCTTTCCCCATATCCAAAAGTCCCCTGAAGAGGCGTTTGGGCGATGCTCAAGTGAGAAAAGTATCTGGATACCTGAGCCAGATCGGCTTTGAGTAGCCCCGAGCCATCTCTTCAAGATAACCAGAGCACAAAGATAGAGGTTTGGTTCGGTAGACCTCTGTTCCGGATTCCAGGATCAGCAACCTGCAGTTGAGAAAAGCGTCCCATGAGGGGATCCTCTGGGGCTTCTGGGGGCAAAGGACATTTTGGACAGGTTGGGTTGGAACTGTTGCAGGAGATGAACGTGTCAAAATAGGGGGGCCCGTAAAATGGGTGGGTGGCCTTGTGGTTTCCTTTTGAACCAACCTGAAACGGGTACTAAAAAACAGACCCATTTGGGTGTCTTTTTTCAGAGTCCCTTTTTGGCGGCCGTTTTAGAGGTAAACTCGAGGACGCCGGAGAAACTCTGAGGGTTGATCCCTTGACCAGTTGTCAGGTATTCGTTTGGTATTCCAAAACAAGACAATTGGGTTGGCTGAATTTGGGTGATTTCCTATGGGGCCAAGATGTTTAGACCTCAACCCCTTTTTGTATTTGGGTGGCTCGTCTTTTTTAAGCTGGTAACTGGCAACCGTTTGGAAGCCCAAAGGAAACCATCCATGTTGGGGAGTCCCCTAAAAAAGGAGACGCCCATTTGAATCGCATGTAGTGTTCGGCATGTTCACTGCCTTACCAACTCTTTCCACATTTGTGATGGCTCTTTTGCTCAGCACCGTCATCGGTGAAGGCATGGCAAAACCAGCTAGACCATGTCCCGTCATGGCGCGGTGCTTGAAAACCCGCCGTTTGAGACAGGGTTTGGCTTTACATCCACGATATTGACACCCAGTTGCGTCCCGGCCCCACTTTTCCCGGGGTTCAGGCGGCCCGAAGGAATGCAGGAATTGCTGTCAAGCAAGCTTTGTGAATACCAAGGTGCTTGAAGTGAGCAGTTCCCTTACCGGATGTGGACGCCGAGATCACGCTCTTGAGTCTTTGCATATTTGTTCTGCCCATGTTATAGCTCACCCGGGGGTACAACGAGCTCAGAGGAAAGTGGAAAGAGTGTAACCCAAAACACCCTAAGCATCATTGGACCCTCCAAGGCTAGGAAAGAAGTTGCGTTTTTGAGGATTCCGGATGCTTCGGGTCCAACTGATGAAAGGACTTCACACAGACCTGCAATGAGTTGCTTCGTTCTGTCAAGTTTTAATCAACTACCAACCGAACTGTGGAAACCCACGGGTCCTTTTCCCGAAAGAAGGGTGTTCTTTGTTCCTCTTTTGGGCTAACCTGGGCAATTCTTGGCAATCCACCAGATCCGTTTCGTGTGTGTGGTTTTTAAGGCTGGACCCCCTAAAAATGGCTTCGGTTTTCCTTTTGGTGTCCCTTCAAAGCCACCCACAAATGGGGTACCAACTCGAAAAACAACAGACACATGTCCTTCTGGTCTCCCTTTAAACCCACCAAAAAATGGGGTACCCCCCAAGAAAGACACGCCCAGTTTCCCGGATCTGAACCACCTCAACTTCGGTCTCGTGTCGGTCGGAGGCTTGGAACAGCTGCCGGGCGACATCTACCTGCGCCTGTTGGGCCGCTACAAAGATGTGGCACGGCCGATCCAAGCGGATGCGCAGGAAACGAACATCCAGGGGTCATGTGGAAAATATGGACCTGTTTCCTCAAACTACCCACAACAAAACAGGATCCCAGCCCATTTGTTTGGGGCCACAACCCATGTTTAAGGGGATTTTGAGGGTCCTGGGACCTATCAACGTTGGGGGTCAGGGGTATTTCTCGCTGGCACGCGACCTCACCCCAAATGGTCTATGTGAGGAATAGCCCCCGACCACCTCATTTCAGGTTAAGATATGGGTCAACATGTTCAACCCGGGGGTCGGAGGTGTTGGTCCTTTCCTTATGCTGACCCAGGATCTAAGTAGAACCCGTCCCACTAGGGGGGTGTTCCCTCCAAAAGTGGTCTGAATCCCCACTAAAAGGGGACACCCCCCGATCAAAATCAACCAGGGGTGTATTAATCCGGGGTTAACATTATCAGAGTTCCGTTTTGGGGTTCGCCACCGAGATTCTGGAAGATCTGGTTTCCGCGGCCAAGCATTCGAGAGATCTCCAGGCAAAGTTTGTTCGGGAACGACCAATCAGGGTAAAATGATCGCCTTTTTTTTCTGAGGGATGTTTTTTATTTTTGTTGTTGCTTTTTTTGAGGGGGAAGGCCTGTTTTGGGGCTCTTTGAAAGGGACATCAACTGTGAAAAACCGGGGCCTTATTTTTTGTTGGGGGCATTTCCATATGTGGAGACAAACTCATAGGATAATGCTGGAGCATCGGGTTTTGATCGTCCCCCATCGGTTTTCAAACTTTTACCGGGGCAACTAAGACGAAGGTGGTTGCAACGGTCCACCCAACGGTGCGGATCTTTGGCCCTTTGTTGGGTCGACCCAAACAAAAGCGGTTGCTTTTTGAGTTGGTACCCCCCCGTTTTGGGTGGACTTATATAAAGGGAGGCCAAAAGGAAAACAGCCATTTCTGGGATCCCCGAAAAAGGCAGACACACATTTCCTTGTTCAATCACGTTTCAAACCCATTCCAATCCCCGTTTGACGGTTATTTAACTTCCCCAGAATTAGCTCCCCGTTTTGCTTTTTTGCTTTTTTGGGGTCCCTTTGTTTTCCCCTAACCAGGCAAACAAGATAGACATTTTTTGCGGGGGTCCTAATTCCAGCCTAGTTAAAACAGATTACTCCGCAAGCAACTGCCGACATTTCATGGCGCCTTTGAAGGTGCCCCTTGCCAACTTGTTCAACCATGGCCTAAGATCATGAGGCTGTGGTTGTCAAAACCGTTTTGGGATCCCATTTTGGTTGGCAGGTGAATTCAGCACCCATTCTAGAACCTATATTAGCGGGGATTGGGATGTTCACTGGGGGTACGATTTGGATTTTGCCCCATGATGAAGCTTCATTTTGGCTTTGATAAAGCAAGGGCTCCGCAAAAGAAAACCGGAATTTGGAGGGTCTAAAACTCGAGGATCCCTCCCCTTGGTTGTTCCCCTGTTGCATGGCCTAAGATCATGAGACGGCAAAGGAGTCATTATTGGCGCGCGGCAACACGTGACCAACCGAAGTTTCATGACCCATTCTCAATGGGAAATATGTATGGCCCGCGTTTGTTAAAGAGCACTCGATGGTGTGTTCTAAGGGGCCCTAAACGGATTCCGTTCCAAGGCTTGCGAGCCAGCAAAGGTCAATGATTGATATGTGCATCACATCCGAAAAGAACATTGAACACACTATATCCTATTTGAGTCAGTACAGAGACATACCTAATCCCGGCCCCTAATGATGACCATTCCCCCATTAAACACAATCCTCGGAGGGATTATTATTATTATTAGGTCGCCCGGGTTTTTGGGCCAGAACTGTTTCAGACTGCGTTGTTGAGTCTTGGGCTCAAATCCCTTGACTCTTTTCAATCAGAGACCTTACGAGGGAGCCCAATGGAGACCTCAGTAGAAATCTTTTCCGCAAGGCAATCCTTTGGTGGGGAGCTCGGCTGAGCTTTGGTTTCTAGAGAGTTTAGTATTGGTTTAGTATTGGGTAAACTAGAACTAGTAGGGTCGCCTTGGGTGTTAATTATTCCGTTTAACAGGAAGAAGTGATTGCTCACCGATTCGGGTGGTAAAATAAAAGGAGCGAAAGCCATGATACGGCTCCTGTACTTGGGGATCCGATTCGTACTTCAGCTTTTGGAAGGGTAAACAATTTCAGGTAAGACCAGTTACAGCTATACAATGAATAGACCAGCTTTGAAAAAATATAGAAAACAATTGTGGTTTTTACAGACCAGCTTTGGACAATTATAGAAAACAATTATGGTTTTTACAGACCAGCTTCGGAAAATCATAGAACACAATTATGGTTATTAACTCAGCTTGCAACCCATTGGACTGTTCGCGCTAGGTTCAGGCCACCAGCCTGTGCCAGCTGCTGTTGAAGGGTCCCTCGGCTGCATCGGACTCGAACAGACTCCGTGGTCGTCAAACTGAGCCGTGTGCTCAGCTTCCCCCTAATTGGTTTGGATTGGTGGCTTGGTGGTTTGGTGGTTCTGTGGTTCTGTGGTTTGGTGGTTAGGGGGTGGTTCCTTCAACCCGTGCAAGAACCAGGCATTCAAATCCCAAACCAGTCCAAACCAGGGTCCCAAATTTGGGGCATACGCCGTCCTCATTTCGGGTTCGAAAGATGGTGTCACACTTTTGTTGTGGGCCGAAGTTGGCTTGAGCAAGCATCTTGCCTGGACCACTCGCCTCTGGGACTCGCTGGCTTACAGAAAGGTGACGGTTTCAATGTGTCAAAACATGGATTTGGACCCTGAAATGCATTTCGCGTTCCAGGGCTTTCTGATTTCAGGGGATTGTGACAAAGCAAACACCACCCCCACAGTGGAGTTTGCCCAGTCTCAAGGAGAACGGGGTTCAAATCCCCAGAAATGGCACCTGGAAGCCCGGATTCGCGCTGGAGGCTCAGTGCCGGAGCGGGTGCGCGAGCTGCTGCCGAAGATGGTCCCGCCCTTGGTGCTGAAGCAATCCATGGAGGGCATCCAGGAGGGGTGGCTGGGGCTGAGTGGGGCTGAGTGGGGTGTGGGGGGGCGGAGGGTGGGGTGGATGCACAACTTTGTCAGCGGCTCTGAAAGCATTTAAGGCATGAAGTTCGGCAAAGATATTTGGAGGGTCCATTTGTTAATGGTCCAAGGCAAAAGGGCCCGAAATACCAGCTGGTTGAATGCCCGCAACTGAGACTTTCCTTGTTCCTAAAACCGGACCTGCTTGGAACCGCCACCTTTGAACTGGTCAGCCGGTTGTTCCGTTTGGTTCTAATTGCATCCATTTGTGGGTTGATAAATATTCCGTTCGGCCCCAACATGAACATGGTTTCCTTTCCCATGTTAGACATATAATCCTTTTAGTGGTTTCCCCAATCCCTAAAAAGATTCCCCTATTGCTCAGATTCCCGCCAACAAAGCCTACCCAATCATGTTGTGGGCCTCCCCAACCCCCCGCATTAAAGGTACCCTGCCTTCACGCCACAAGATCCCGAAGGGGCTTTCCTTTTTGCTTAGTCTGCGCTTAAACCCACCAATACTCAGCCACTAAACCCCTCAAGTCTTGCAACAACAAGTGCTTGCTCCAAAACGCATGTGTCTCACCAAAGTGTGTGTAATGTGACAAGGTGTTCAAGCTCACAAAGGAACCCGCCCTTGGAGGCCAGCCGGCCTGCCCCCCTCAGCAGAAACACCATGAGGGGTGGGCTCAAAAAGAAAAACAAAAGAGCAGCTGTTGCCATTTCCTGTCGCCCAGAAAGCCAAAGGCCAAGAAGGCAGGGATTGAACAGGGCCTACTGTGGATGGACGAAAACCATTTCGCACCGCCTAAGAATCCCTGAAATGATGATTCCCCCTGTAAATACCAACAAACAATGGTTTCCCATGGTTTCAAAGTGTTGCAGGATTTTGTCCGTCCACAGTAGGTTCCTGCAAACCCACTTCAATTGGCTGGCAAGGGGCCAGAACTACATTTTTGCGATGCGCAAAGCCACCGTATGAAAAAACGGCAACAAGACAACAACACGCACCAGAAGTACATGGACGACCGAAAAAGCTCCAGATTCATCAGGGCTCCTCCAAAAATCCGTCGACCTTGAAGGGGGTGGGGATTTGGAGCGCTCTAGAAGGAGACCTCAGCGGAATGGCGTCCCGAAAATTTGAGGGTGGAATCCATCTATACGCGCATCCATCGGTCCTTTGCCTGGTCATCCAAATCTGATTTTTGGCAAGCTGCTCCCCTCTTGTTGATGTAGAAAGTACTAGATGGCATCCCCGTAGTTGGGTAGACCCTGTTTGTATGACCAGGTTGTTTCTGTGACTCAAGTGGACACCAGCTCTTTGTCCGAAAGCAAAGTTGCCCAGGGGTACTTTTTTGTTTTTAAGGCAAGGGTTCCGCTTTAAAGTCAACCAACCAAAGGGGGATGCCCTTTTTTTCCCATGGAAATCCACGGGGCATCTGAGAGACACAGCCACCAGTTTCCCGCCGTTTTGTTTCGTCGAGGATCTCATGATGCTCCTGGATGAGGTTCGGAGAGTGTTCCAAACCGAGCCGTTTGACTTCTGACCTCACAAGTGCCAGTGCCCTTTGTGGGGTTCATGTCCAGCAACTTTCCATTGGAGATCCCGACCAAGGGAGGGTCCTATGCTTAGGAAGTTCAAAGGCTCTCCCTTCAGCGTAGAGGTGGTTCCGTTGTGTATTTGGACCATCTCTTTCGAAGGATTGACAGACCTCCTGGACGCGTTTGTTTGACTTGTTGACTCTTTTTCTTTGAAGTTAATACGGCTGTGGGTCAAAACCGATGGTCCCTTCTTGGGGTAGGTGCCCATTTTAGTCTATTTTTGTGGGGATGTTGGCGATTTTTTTTGACGCTGGTTCTAGGAAATACAAAGGGACCCGATGGAAGCGGTCGTTTTATATTTGCGCTATGAGTAGCAAAGGCCCGCTGCGTGGATCACGTCGAGGGTGACATAGAGGAAGCATCGCATGGTGCGTCTCTCGCGCTGGTTTCTCGAATGGCAAGGAAGGCGTCGGCAGTTTGATCACCCGCTTGCGGGTAATATAAGGGGCGAACAAACTACTAAGAGTCTACTTCTATCATGACTAAACATGTGGGTGTACAGTATCTCATAACCCCATTCTAAATTCTAATTATTTTGGCCGCGAAAAAATACACTTCAGAATTCCGTGTCAGTTTGTGGCTATTGGGTTTCAACTTTTTAGGCCACACGCACACACACACACACACACACATGTGGATGAATTTCAATAGCCCCTCAAAATCGGGTGGTGGACATTGTCCACCAAGGGGGTCAGGAAGTAAAGGTCATATCAACTAGCCAGTGCCAACACCTCCACTGTCGGAGCTGGTCACGCTTGCATCAAAAACTTCCCCCACCCCAAGACCAATGTTCCTGGGGTTTGGTTATTCATGTCAGGTCATGAGTTGCATGCGATCCATCCCCTGTTGTCTCAACTAGAGCCATGATTATAGCCTAGGTGAAACATCCAAGCAGCGAGCACAGCGGCAGGAGTCCATTCCATCCTTCTTCACCCCTTTGCTCCCCTATGTGCTCAGCGACATCGCGGAAGAACCGGCGGCCTTGCATGCACTAAGCTGTTTTAGCCTTTTCCTCCCATCCAAAACCGGAACCGGAGGTAAGGGGGGGGGGGGTGAGAATTTGAGACACCCACATGGATTGCAAGATTCGCGTTAGAGTTTGGATCGTGATATCTGTTGCAAACAGATGCCTTTGGCCAATCAAGTTCCGCTCCATTTGCACGAGTTCTGGCGGCGTTCTTTCATGTGCCAAACGGGGATACTATGTACGTCATAGGGACCAAATTAGATTCTCGCATTCTGGTGATGAGAGGCTCAGTGACTGTTTCGTTTGAGCCGTGTTTTGCCAGGTTGCTTTCGGTTGCCGACTGGTAGACATGGCATTTGACATTGACGGCCAGTGTCCGTTGGTCAAGGGCAACTGTACATCGTAGGGATGGCAGCCCTTGCGCTCTTGTTCTGGACCCCATTTCCCATGATTCTCGATGTCAGCAGGCCAGCCCTGCCAAAATTTGACAGGGCATGCATCTTCCACGTGCAGAGGTTTGCCTTTTGGCTCCTGGAAAGTCAATCGACCTGGTCAATTGGAAGAGCCACCGGTCGAATCGGGGGCGAAGATGAGGCGATTCGCCTCACCGGGGCCTTGACATTTATCATGGAGAAGGTCTACGACTGCAAGGCAGCGATTGGGTTTCTTTTGCTCAATGCAAAGGGCTTGCATGCCAGCACCTGCGTCCCAACTGCTGCTTTTTCAACCATGTCCAAAATCCCCTTGGTTCTGGCAGGTG